TTTCTGCCTCTCCCTCACTTCAGGGCTGAGTTCTGCAAGTTGGGCTCTTCTAGACTGTCAGAACCTTCTAAGCAAGGACAATGAGTTTTTTATTCATCTTAATGTAATAATAAACTGTAATAATAATAAATTATAAGTTATAACAATTTTAAAAACTATCATAATGCTTGCCACAGACTCAACACTCAACAAGTATTTGTTGAATAGACAAATATATTTCAAAGTATCTCACAGTTTGCAATGCATCTTCTCATAATACCTCATTTAATTTTCATGGTAAGCCCCTATGGTAAGTATAATAATCTCATTTTTAAACAAGAAGAAATCTGAGACACAGAGAAGCTAAGAAACTTGTCTAGAGTCACAAATCCTGCAACAAAAAGAACTGAGACTCAAACTCATGCCTTTCAATTCTGCATCCAGTACTGTTTCTCTCATAGCTCAGGCAAGAAATAGGTCTGGCAAAGTATAAGGGCTACCTCTCAGCTACCAAATTTCATGCTCTAAAAAATTTTAGTACACTGAAGTGGTAACATTCCACAGAAATTTTTTAACTTTTCATTTCAAGTTAATTGTTTATTGCAGAACACAGTGGTAGTAAATAATAGATAGAATCTTTGCCCTTGAGAGAACTTAAAGTTTAGTTAGAAAGAATCAGGAAAAAAAATAAAAGCACAGAACTGCAATTCAAAGCAAGAAAGAGATGCTATAAGAGAGTCAACACAAATTTTGTTAGGTAACTAATTCTATACACCAACCTTGATACAACATGCTAGTACATGAGGAATTTAAAAGAGGAGATTGTGGAGTCAACAAAAAGATATTAACAGACTCATGGATATGGTACAATCTGAGACAAAACTTGAAGAGCTGATTTACTTTTAAAAGACAAGCATAAAGGTAGTCAATCTGAGATAATAATGAGACATTAAGTAAAAGCTTCAATGTGGAGATGTGTGGGGCGTGTTTTGGAGAGAGCCAGTTTAGTTAGAGTGACACCAAAAAAATATTCTATTTCTTAAAATATAAGAGTGAAATATTAGGACCTTAAATGCCAGACTAAGGAATTCATTCATAATTTGATAAGCAATGTGCAGCCATTGAGAGTTTTGAGCAGGGAAGTGACACTATTGAAGCTGAGGTTTATAAAGATTAACCTACCAGTGAATATAGGATACTGTATAAAGCTCAAAGCTGAGACACTAGTCAAGGTTTCAAAGATAAGGATGATAAAAGAGCATCCCTTAATTACACCATTATATCTCAGAAAATACTTCAGTGATCTAAAATAAATACTTTTTTTTAGTTTATTCCCTCAAACTGATAAAATTATTTTAAGAGAGTCCCCAATGATGAGTTTTTATACTAAACAAAATGTTTATTCGGGTGAGAGATTGCAACTCAGTATGGTTAAATTAGATTTGTTATTTCTTAGAACTACACTCCCTCTGGTGCTTGTAGAGAACTTATATTGCAGATTTAAAAAGAAAAACATAAAGCGTATGACAATTTTTCATAGTTATTATGGCTGACATCTAAGCTGGCAGAGTGCAGACAAAGGAAAGGCATATAAATTAGACAAATAAAAATTACTTTAGATTCATCCACAAACACCAACAGAAGTGTAAAAGGAGATAATGAACTTGCCTCAGGTCACTGCTGCTGAATGAAGAAGCCCAGATATCTATCAATTCCAAAATGTATTTGACATAATAGTCAAGTTATTTTTTATTGCTGTTTTCAAAAGCCACCATTTTTAGAATATTTGTGTTTCTCATATGAGTTAACCAAAATATTTTATGTATAGTGTCCATTTTAATGCTGTCAATACTAAGTATATTATGCTAATAATTACCATAACAACTGGCATCTCTAAACAACATAGAAGGTCAATTTCATTGATTTAACTTGATGTTTTTAGCAAATAAAATAGGAGAATATTTGCCTTGGTGCTGACTATTCAGTGTGGCATTATTGGCACTGAATAAGCAGTTTTTTAATAACTATCTTACACTAGAGAGATATGGCTTTGAAACTACATTGTATCCATTGGCCAAAAAATTTTAGTTATAAATTTTGTTAAATTATCTACAAAAAAACTTCTATTGTCAATTGAATTTTAGAAATTTGTATATCTTTTTATTTTGGAGATACATACTGCATAGTCGCATATGAAAGTCTAACATGTGCTATGTAAAAATAAAACCTATTTAACTTTCTTTAACCCAGTGCTTTCCTAACTTATTTGACCATGTAATAGATTTATCTTCCTTGAGCATCTATTCAGATTCCATACTGGCTTTAGGGAATATTGCCAGAGAACAAGGAAAGCAGCATTACATGCCAGAGAAAAGTGAAATTTTAATAAAAGATCTGTACACCACTGATCCTGGTTCCCCCAAAAACTGCTATAATTTCCTTGTCTGATTCAGTCCAATAGGTGTTCAAATTTACATCAAAACATAGGTGTTTACAGGATTTTCATAGTCCTATCCAATTATGCCTCAAAAATAGAAAATTATCTCTGATATTTTATCTCCCCATCTCTGCTGCCTCCCTCCATTCATTCAGCCAGGGCTTTCTGTTCTGACTCCACAACAGGAAGCATGATATACACTTGAAATGAACTCGTGAACAGACCTCGTGGTCCTCACCTTCCTAAACAAGCGGGTTAGTAGAAGAAAAAGACAAGGAAAGAGCCTGATATGTCTTTGCTAAGGAAAATACCTTGTGTTATGGGAACTGCCTTGGTGGATAAAGGTAGTACTGTGAATAAACCAAAATCTGAAGGATGAGTAGGTATTAGGGAAGGAAGAGTTTCAAGCAAGGTCTTTATTTGGGAGAACATAAGTGCAGTAATTCATTCCATCCGTGCAGTACAGAGCCTAAGGGAAAATATTTTTTACTATTGGATTTCTCTTGTCAGGAAAGCTTAGAAACACTAAGCAATACCTGTAGGGTAATCTGGAGGCAGAGTGAGGTGGCATCACACCTCTTACAAGCTTGACCTTTGGCTCTTTAATCGGGTGGCCACAGGTATTAGGAGGTAAGGGGGCTGATGCTCAACTCCTCCTACCCCTAACTCCCATGTCTTAAGTCCAGAGCGGCAAAGGGGTGCCCACCTACATCACAACTCCTCCTACAGTGCTTTTCCTCTGGAGTTTTATCCAACCTTGGAGAAATTCCTTCATGCAGACTCCGGGTCTTTGCAACCACAACTTCAGGCCAGAGCACTTCTTTATTGAGATAGAATAGAGCCTTTGAAGTATGTTCCCAAAATACAAAATATGTTGGAATGCTTCTGGCCAGACCTCTATTGTTCTGTTTACTTTTTGTCAAAATATTAATTTGTCTTTGAGGAGAAGACCCACCAGATTTTGAAATCAATGTGTATGCCACGTATAAGCAAAATTAAAGAGTTTCTACAATTGAAAATTTCGGCATTTTTCATACAAGCTCAAAAATACCAAACTGGCAACATTCCAGTAAAATGAAGATTAAAATGTTTTTTTTAAAATATGAAAAACTGAAATATGTTAGTATATGCAATTATTCTACATTTTTAAAAGGAAACATTCACAGGAGAGTGTGATCATTTATCATCCTGACCAGACCTCTCCCACTCTTTTCTCTTTAAAGTTGAAAATGCTGCAATTATTCTGTTACGCCTCATAAAATAGTAAATTATCTCCAATTACTGTAAATTCACAGTAGCAGTAAAAAGCTTGTGTAGAACAACATATTCCCCATAGTCATCTTGAAATTTATTACAATCTCATAAAATTATAACTCAGCAACGAGTTTCAAAAACATGTCTAGTCCATTTTTGTTACCTCTGGGCAGGACTGAGCTGCAAATAATTCCAAGAAACTATCTATCAATAATTATTATTTTTAGCTAAAGGATTCAATCACACTCATGTAGTGATAAATATTTTTCCTATATGATACATTTCTTAAATGTTTCCTCATGTTCGTATGCAGCTAAATTCTCAAAATTCACATTCTGCCACCTCAACACAAGTGAATGGTCTCTGAGCAATACATAAATAAATAATTTTACCCTTATGAACTTAGGAAAAACCTTTCATTTATTTGCCTTCATATTTCTATTTTCATCTAAAAGACAGCACTACCTAGAGAAATTTTTAGCCCTCTTAGAGGAAATATCAAAAACACTGTTTTAAGAGCATGAAGGGTAATCTAGCCTCTGCACAAAAATGTCTTGTTCTTCCCACAGAAACCATAAAGTAAGCACAGCTTCCACCACTGATATTGTAGAATATTAAGTAATTTTTTAAAATTATAATTAGTAATTTTTGTTGGGCATCAGAGTAATGCCAGATACCCTTTCTAAAAATTTAACACAACCAACTGTTCTTTTATTGCCCTGCATGCCATCCAGGCTCTATCCCAGGGCATGCCCTTTCACAGTTTAGGGTTGCTTTGAATATTTCTACAGGAGTTTTCAGACATTAGCCTGTAAACCAAATATGTAGTAAGTTCTCACAAAATTTCTCACTTCCTCACACTCTGAAAGCTATAATGGGCAAACAGAGTAGACTCTAACGATGTGAATAGGATAACATAAAATATTTGAACTTAGATCTTTGTTTGATACCTGGTTCTGTCACTAACTAGCTGGACCTTGGAAATATTTCATTTATTTGGAAATAAATTTCAGGTGCCTTGTCATTAAAATGGGTATGATGATGGTTGCCTCATAGGTGAGAATAGGATTAGTTGAGATAATTAATGGAAAACAAATCGTAGCTGGTCAAGAAAACTGGCCCTCAGCCCATGTTTATAGTTACTATGGCTGATGTTCTTGTTGTTCCCAGTACTACTACGTCTGTTGGGAGTGCCAGAGGATGGGGGCCCAAAAAGCGTAACAAGAAGTTTAGGATTGGTATTAGTGTTCACTGAGAGAAGTGCTTGGGGTTTTACACTGGCAGGGATGTACACAATATTCAAGAGAGGAAAAGGTAAGTGAAAATTAAGAAGGCAGAGTATTTCCTGTACAGGTTGATGAGGTGTTGACTTAGGATCCACACAAAATCTCTAAACAAGCAAAACACTCTCTTATTTGTATCTTCATAAATGAGAAACTCACAGCATAGAGTATTAATAAAACATACCCAACATGACTGAACTAAAGAATTGAAACTTAGGATTTCAAAGTCCAAAGTGAATGCTTTCTTTATTCACATTTTCCAGGCTAGCCCTCTGCCATTTACAAGAGCAGTCTTTCCCATATTCTTCCCTATGCAGATAACCATTTAGTCCTTTCCTATATTGAATCCCATAGTATACTATACTCACTTTATTATAGGATAACGACTTGCTGTATTCTATCACTTTCTACTAAATTGTGAGCTCTGGGAGGTCAAGGAGAATTTTGAATTTTCCATTCAGCTACATATCTCAAAGCCTACACCAAAATCCTGAGTTTCACCTTAGTTGCTTCTCTCCCTCTCCAGTGAGGAGGGCAAGTGGGATTCTATCTGGCCTCTCTGAAATCCACAAGCAGCTCTGCAAATAGAGAAGCGTTGATGTAGAGACTGATTGGCAATAAAATTAATGAGGAAGCCATGGTACCAAATTTTATAGCCTTTCTGTTCTGAACTAAAGTCAAATTCTTGAGCGTAGGAGTTTCTTCTTTAAAGCTCTGTTACTGGAGAGATTAATCTACCAGCAATACACAAAGACAGATTAGTGAGAGGTGGTGGTCCCAATAAAATCATTCATAGGCTAATTAAATTCCTTCTTCACTCAGTTTTACTACAATTAAAATATAAAAGGTCTGTTTACATTTTTGGTGCCTGGATATGTATTGAGAAATACGATATTCTTAAGCAGGTTTTCACTTTGCATTTCTCTGCTTTAATATAACGAAGTCATTATCCGTGTGGGCCCACAGTGCTCCATGTTAAATTCACCAACTGCTGTTCTGCACATTCCCTCAGCCAATTTATTTCAATTTCAGAAGGAGCAACCAACTCCACAGTGGATGACTGCTGACTGCAGTTCCACACCATCACTCTTCAAGAGTAAACTCAAATCAAGGAAAAAGCTTCCACATGTGAACATGGGTATGATCAATCTCCTGTTAGCAGCAGCCGCAGCTTCAGGCCTGATAGACCCCAGCTTCTGCACATGGGGTGCAAAGCTACAGACAGCTCACCTGCCTCTACTACAGGACAGGCTGTGTGTGTGTGTGTGTGTGTGTGTGTGTGTGTGTGTGTGTGTGTGTATTCCATTTTGTGTGTGTGTGTATTACCTTTTATATGTGTGTGTGTATTATACATACATATATTTGATTATTCTCAAATCCATTATTTTCCACTGTTACCTTTCTTCTCAACCTCAGATCCAGATATCCATACACACACACATATATATGTATTATATTATTATATGTATTTTATATATGTGTATATATATAATGTAAAAGAAAAATAGGTTGTATAGAGATTTTCAAACCAAACATTAACACATATAAGAGCTAGGTCATATTTATGGCATTGTTGGTGGTGGCCAGATATCATAAATTCTGTATCATAAATACTTTTAGATGAAATTATATAACTCTTAGGATAACAGCTTAAAACTCATAATTTGCAGAGTTAGGGGCTTAGAGCCTAAATGTTCAGAAATTTTCCACAAATGGCTATCATCAATTTAAAATAGCTGTGTTTACCAAATAAATTATACTAAGCTAGACATGTGGATTAGCAAATCTATAGCACAGAGCTGAGAAAGGAAGCCCTTGGTCCTTCTGACCTCCCTGCTCTTGTCTCTGATTTTCTCTGTTTGCTGATTCCATCAGTTAATTTGTTCTTTATAGAGCTGATCTAGCCTGTTGTTTGACAAGACCCTTTTCTCTTGAACTACATTATCACTTACCCCATTACCATGTACTTGTGAATAGCATATTAGAATGAGTCATTTTGCCACTTAACGTGTGGTTATGAATTATTGGTTGTGTATTGTTGTACTCCACTAAAACTATGATTTCAATATAGAAGCTGATGTTTTGAATAATCAGTAGTCTCTCTACTGGGTTGGGTTTTTCAAAATTTGGGTTGTGCATGATCAAAAGGTTAAATATTTTTCAAGTGAAACATTAAGAACAATGTTTTCATGTAATTTGGATAGAGAAGCCATTTTGTTCAATCTATATACAATTTTCATGTGCTAGTCTTGGTGTAAAAACTAATGGTAGACTGTCTTTTTCTGCTCTTGTTTAAAATGATAGTAATCAAGTTTACCATCTCCACCATTTAATGAAGCAAAGAGCACTAGAATAGAAATTAGGAAGGAAATAAAAGGAGCATTTAGTGAATGTCAATGTTTGATAACACAATGTTGTACACGTGTTGGCTCCTTTAGTTTCCACAAAGCCAAAATGAAGTAGTTATTGTCTGAGTTTTAGAGGTATTAGGAAATTTACCAAATGTGCCCTGCGAGCTCTTTAAATGCTGTATTCCACAAGCTCCCCATCCTGAGCACTCTAATTTTTTATGGAACATAATTTACCTGGGTGATCTCATCTCTTTACTTGGTTTCAATTGCTGCTTATATACTCTGATTACTCTCAAATCCATTCTTTTCCACTGTTACCTTTCTTCTCAACCTCAGATCCAGATATCTAGCTGCCTACTAAATATCTTTCTTGTCCCTAGACACTTCATCCTTCAAATACCCACTTTTGAATTCCCTATTCTCTACTCTGTTACCTGTACTCTTCAGTGGTTGCTGGTACCATCCAGCCAAAGTAGGAAAGGGCTGCTCATTTTCTTTTTCTCCATTACCCCTAATACATTCCTACAAATTTTACTTCCTCAATAATGTACAAAAGCAACTAGAGAATCTGTCTGTGCTCTCCACTCTCACTAACTTCCTATTGTGTCTATCATCATCTCCTGGCTGAACTTTTAACAGGTCCTCCTGCCTTGAGTCTTAACCTCCTGAACTTTGTCCTCCATATTACTGCTGGAGAAGTCAGTAGAAAACAATGCACGTATGCCAGTTTGCTTTTTAAAAACGTTTAATGGTTCTCCATTTCCTGGAAAAAACAGGCCAAGGTCCCTAACAAGGCCCTCCTTGATCTGGCTCATGCTATCTTCTATAAAACTTCACCCCTCTTCAGTTTTTGACCCATGACTTTTTTCTCCAGACATACAACCTCTTATATTTTTTCTCACATAATATGATTTTTCTTTAGTCATAACTTTTCTTCAGCTGAGGTCCTATCTGCTCTTTCACTTTGCCTATCTGACTCCTCACTCTTTAAGATTCAGTAAATGTCACTATCACCAGAAATCCTTTTCTGATCCAGTTTTACAAAAATGTGGAAGGATCTTAAATTTTGAAAGTTGTCACTATCACCAGAAATCCTTTTCTGACCCAGTCTTACAAAAATTTGTAAGGGACTTATATGTTGGAAGTTAACTAAATGTCTAGAGTGTTGACTAGATCAGTAGTGTTAGAACTTAGTGAGCAGAAATATATGCTTGCAAATGAACTCAAAAAACTCAGGACTCACTGAAACAAAAAGGAACATTTCAAATCATTTTGGAAGATTCCTTTACTTCCTGAATTAATTCATAAGTTGTTTTTTTTTTTTCCTCAGCTAAATTACTTAAATAGCTTTATTCTCCTTTTGAGTAAGGACGGAGGCTAATTAGGCATCCTCCAAGGCACAGATGGGAAAAACATCATCTCCCTCCTCTTTTCTTAATCCCCAGTATAGCCAGACATAGTGAAGGTCCCAGCTGCCTCCTAAAGACCTGCTGTGGAACAACAGGGTCTAAGAGACTAGGCCAGCCAATCAAGCTTAACATTTGCATGCAAAGTCCTCCCAGAAGCAAGGAATTCAGCTCCCTGGCTCCATATCTGTTCTACTGCTTATGGGCAATAGCATCACACAAAGAAATAGGCCTGTGCTTAGGAAAGAAAAATATTTACCCAAGTCAGAATGTTCATATGTGGTGATGAGAAGCCAATCAATTTAAGAAGACAGAGCAATTAATTCATATATTAGTTTTAAAAATAAAAATTGACATAAACATGGAAAAATAGACACTGTGGACTACTAGAAGGGGGAGAGAAAAAGGGGGCATGGGTTGCGATTCCTCAAGGACCTAGGAATAGAAATTCCATTTGACCCAGCAATCCCATTACTGGGTATATATCCAAAAGATTACAAATCGTTCTACTATAAGGACACGTGCACACGAATGTTCATTGCAGCACTGTTTACAATAACAAAGACCTGGAACCAACACAAATGCCCATCGACGATAGACTGGATAGGGAAAATGTGGCACATATACACTATGGAATATTATGCAGCCATCAAAAACGATGAGTTTGGGTCCTTTGTAGGGACATGGATGAACCTGGAAACCATCATTCTCAGCAAACTGACAGAAGAGCAGAAGATCAAACACCGCATGTTCTCATTCATAGGCGGGTGTTGAACAATGAGAACACATGGACACAGGGAGGGGAGCACTACACACTGGGGTCAGTTGGGGGGAAACAGGGGAGGGACGGTGGGGGGTGGGGAGCTGGGGAGAGATAGCAAGGGGAGAAATGCCAGATGTAGGTGATGGGGAGGAAGGCAGCAAATCACACTGCCACGTGTGTACCTATGAAACAATTTTGCATGTTCTTCACATGTACCCCAAAACCTAAAATGCAATAAAATAAATAAATGGGAAAAAAAAAAAGAAAGAAAAGCTACCTATTGAGCACTAGGCTCACTACCTAGGTGTAATATTCCCATGTAGATCTGCACCTGTACCCACTGTATCTAAAATAAAATTTAAAATTAAAAATATATATATATATAAATGCAAAATTTGAGAGGGAGAGCTGCATAAAGCAGCTTCAAGGATTTTTATCTTTCTTGAATTTCTATTCAGCAATCAATGTTTCACACCCATAGTACATAAGTATCAAAACTAACATATTATCAGTAAAACTGGATTTGGATGGCATAACTTATCCACAGTATCCTTTAAAACATGATTGTTCCCCATGTACATCAGCTGAGTGAACTATAAGTATCAAAGAAATCTACATGAAAAAGGTATGTTTATCTAAAAGTTATATGATGTTTCACATGATTAAATTCTAAGAAGATGTTCCTAAATGTCTCATTCTTACAGCTGCAAAGCAATGTTGACATCATCCGATCCAAATTCCCTGCTTTGCAGCAGAAAATCCAATGCATGTAGCAGTTCAGTGACTTTAATGATGGCACAGCCAGTGTTAGCCTAGAAACCAAGGTGTCTGACCTTAAAGGAAGTTCATATATACACACACACACTATCTATCTATCTATCTATCTATCTATATATATATATCTATATATATATATATATATTCAAGTTATATATATATATATATATATATATATATATATATGATTGGTGATAGATGTATGAACATATGCATATATATATATATCCAGGTTAGGAATCTGTTTTCCTTCAGATTACTCCCAGCCACTGCCTTCTCTCTTCCTTCTCCTCTGGCAAACCCACTTCCCAATCACAAGTATCCCATTTCCCACTTACACACTGCTCACCACCCAGAATCCAGAATGTCGGGATTGAGTCCTATTCCCAAGAGACTCACTTCAAGCCACCTCTTTCCCAGACATTGCTGGACTTGGCATCTGAATGTTTTTGTTCTGCAGTAGATAGCCTCATATGCTAATCGAGGGTTAAAGCTTTGTCTGTTGGGTTTCCTCTAACATCCTATGACTAATCTTCAGTGAAACATAGGGAAAGCTTTCAATGGCATCAAAAAGGCAGACTGCCATTCAACATTGCTAGCCTCTGACTGATTCCAGAAGTAAAGCCTCTGTAATAAAGTATTTAATTTTACACTTCTGTTCTATCCCCACTCAGGACTTGCTAATCACAATCACCCCCTCACTCCACAATCTGCTCCCATGCCTATTTCTTAGTGTGGGTATAAGGTCAGGCCACAGATGGCCAACAAGCAATGAGTTTGCTACACTTGTGTACTGAGCCACCAGAGGGGCTAATAGAAAGGAAATTTTCTTATTAGATGCTTTCAAAAAATAAAATTCTTGAGCCTAAGTATTGTCTTTAATGCCCTAAAGGCAGATCTTGTGTAGAGAAGTCAAACCTTGTACTTGCTTAAATATCAAGAACCTGTCAATGTATTGAATGATATACAACACAGTAGATGTGATTCAAGTCAACTAGTGCTTATTGAGTTCCTAACACAAGACAGCCTGATATATACAAAGAAATGAAAATCCCTGCTTCCATGGTAAAGAAGAACTAGGAAAAGCTGTATGTAACCACACAGTTTAATGAAAATGTTCTGCTCTTGTCATTGCTTTCAGCACTTTTTGAAGTAGATGTCTTGTTTATCTTATTTCCTGGCAAGATTTATAAGAGTCTTCAAATTATAGATCTTTAGCACAAGTCTTGAGTACACTCTCATTTCTTCAAACTCATCATCACTCATATAATTAGATGTAAAAGACTGTAGAAAAATATAAAATACCTTTGAAAGAAATCAATAAAGAGATTCATATTTCAAATGTACGTGAACTTTTAACTAGTTATTAAAATTTTCCAATAAATTGAGCTATTACAAAACTGGAATATACTTAATTCAGATTCCAGATGTGATGAGTAAGGCACATTTTTCTGGTCATAAATAAGTTCCATTCATTGTATTGCCTATAAATTGAGTCTGGTAAGTTTGAGTGAGAGATATTTGAGCATTATAATATTTAAGGTAATGCTTTGTTTCCATCAAGTTCTTAGTAAATAATAAATTCTCAGTTATTTTGAGAAAGATGGCTTTTATTTTCCCCATATTGCCTAAGCCTCCAAGTTATAACTCTAACTATTCATCCAACTCACCCTATTTTTTATATAAATGATGCCACCTCCTAAGTAAAGTGATCATTAACATCCATCATTTTTAAAAGCAGTTCCACTGAAAATGAAGAATTATAATTCCTAGTTTTACAAGAGGGAATTTTACCTTTTCTGTAGAGGCAAGTTCTACAGCCACCCACAGAAACTTGTATGTTTAATTCAGTTATGATGGAAATAATAAAATATCTTCTAAAAGCTCCAAACTATTTTACCATTTTATTGACGAGTTTCTAGTAGGCTCTAACACTAAGCAAAACAGAAGCTAGTAGATTTCTAGGCAGAACCTACCTTAATGGTCCATCTATCTAAAAATGTGCTTTAAGGTGCTGCCTCAGCATTACAATTCCTATCAATGGGTCTGGTACTCAGTAACACCCTGTTATTTCTAAAAATCTCTAAAATGCAATGTGCATATCAGGGGTGTGTGTGTGTGTGTGTGAGTGTGTGTGTGTGTGTGTGTGTGTGTGTGTATGTGTTTGTGTGTTTAGCTACCATCTCAGAAATCAGGTAAGCAAATCCTTGAGGAAACAAAATAGGAAACTATGTTAAAAATAGTAACACCTAATGTTTATTTCTTTTGGTCCTCTAGGTACTAACATCATCTCTATTCTACAGATGAGGAATCTGAGGCTCATAGGGACTGAGTAACTTGGTCAAGGCTATGCTCTTAACCACAGCACTGCATTATTGTATTGAAATCAGCTTGTTTACTTACAATTTAGAAACACATTTACTGCATAAATCCAGTGCTACTGTGCATAGAACCTTATTATACTTTTTTCCTCTGGCTAAAATAAAATTGAAGCACTTTACATTTCCTTAATTTTCAGCAGGTGTCTAAAGTTTCCTTTTTTCATTTTCTGGTGTTAAAACTGAACGAGTTCAAATTAGTGATTCCTGATAAATATGGAATAAATAGAAATGCTTTTTAAAAATTAAAGAATATTAGTTCTTTATTTCATTGACCAGTAAATTAGCAAAAAAAGGGGAAAAGTCTTGAAGAGCTTTACTCTTCCCCTTAAGTGAGGAAAAGGCTAATTAAAAACTCTCTAATGCCAATAGGAGAAACATATTTCCCACCCTGCTTCTGTTTTTGTATTGCTCTTGTTGTGTTTTTGGCTAACATTTATCAAGCACATACTATGTGCTAGGCACTGTGACAAAAACCTGCATCTAAACATGCAATGCTTGTCACAACCCCATGGGGTTTTCCTGAAATAAGCCACATTAAAATTGTCAGAAAGAAAACCTCTTGCAAATAGCTGATCAAAATGCATCCTCCAAAAGCCATCCTCTAACTCACACATTTTGACTCTGCCCTAAACATAGCCAGAAGTACGTTGTCTTTCAAAATTATGTGGCCTGCCATAGGAAAAAATTCTCCAGCACCAATGTGATGTAATTGGAAGAACATAGATTCCTAGTGTTTGAATATACCCTTTGTAACTTTCTTGCTGTATGATCTTGGAGACAATACCAAACCTCTCAGAATCTTCATTCTCCTAACTGAAAAAGGATTATGCCAAACTCATAGTCTTCTGAGATTACAACTTATGACTCTTCTTTGGTTTGTCATGAGGTAGGATATAGATAACATACAGATAACCTGGAAAAAAGAGTGCCCAACAAATAATAGGGTAACTACTCTCACCATCATCATCATCACCACCATCACCATTGTCATCATCAGCATCATCACATGATACATTCTTAGATTTTTGGGGGGAAAAATAGGTAGGAAACGAATAGAAAATAAGACTCCTCCATGTGGTAGTTGTATATATTATACATACACAACAATATATGAAGTCATTTCATGTTTGGTAACTAGACAATTATATCCCTACTCTTTTTTTAATATTATTAATCAGATGTTCAGTACATAAAGATTAAAAATTAAGTATGGAGTAATTTGAGTATAATTGAAGAACTTAATTTGTTTCAAATGAAACTAAGGGAAAAAAAATCCTGGAGGAAAGCCAGTAAAGAAAGGAGGGAAATTGAGAGAAGGAGAAAAAGTTGAAATGTCAATGTTTTTTTTTTTTCCATTCTCTGCCCTTGTGGGTTTTTGTTTTGTTTTTGGGTGGGACTATAACATAGCATATGCATCCTTGCATCTTTTTATTTCTCATGATGAATAATCCATCCATTCTTTTGTACGTGTCATAGGGCTTAGCAGATTGCTTTATGACAGAAGGTTAAATCATAGAATCCTCAAAAGAATGGGCAGAACTCATTATAAACTGTGCAAATGGAAAATAACATGTATCAATTTCTTTTCCTGTTTTCTTCTTGCTACTTCAGACTTTATTCTTCTTTGGCAAACATTGCAGAGCAAGAAAAATATTCAGAGGCTGGATGCAGTAGCTCGGGCCTATAATCTCAGCAATTCGAGAGGCCAAGTAGCTCGGGCCTATAATCTCAGCAATTCGAGAGGCCAAGGCATGAGGATCACTTGAGTCCAGGAGTTCAAGACCAGACTGGGAAACATAGTGTGACTCCTGTCTCAAAAAAAAAAAAAAAAAATCAACTGTGTGTAGTGGCTCATGCCTGTAATCCCAGCCACATGGGAGGCTAACACAAGAGGATTGCTTGAGCCTGGGAGGTGGATACTGCATTCAGCTGTGATTGCACCACTGCACCTCAGCCTGGGCAACAGAGC